CCTCCTCCTTACTCCCATTCTTCCACCAGATCTCTCTCCTCTATTTATTGCACTTATTCACCCACAGTAACTCACAACTGACGCTTTATAAAATACTCTCTTCTGTAACTGCATTTGACACATTAAAACCTGACCGAACACGGTTGGAGTGTTTCACTTCCACTCGATCATGTTCTTCTTTGTTTCTACGACACCCTACCCTGTTTACTCATTTCTCTTTCACCCCCCCCCCCCCCCACCCCACCCCTTCTCTCTTCTATCTTTTTTTCCAGCCGGCTAAAATTTATGCAACATAAAAGAATGGTGGGTGGAGAAACAGAGCAAAGGAGATTTTTTCTCTGCCTGGTCAGCTTATCCAGAGGTCAGTGTGGAAATGTGATGCATGGTAATTTCAGAGAAAAGAGACAGCAAGAGAGAGACAGAGAGCTGGAAGAAAATAAAAGATAGTAACTAGGTTTCCATCCAAGTATATTTATGAGAACTTTACTTTACTGCTGGTATTCTGCACAACCTGCGTAAATTGTGCGTTACTTTTACAGTTTTATTTTTTAATATACGTGCTACATTTTCACTTAATATGTTTTAGTGTTTTAATTGCCGGCTCCAGTATGTCTAAATTCCGCTTTAATATTAATAAATATAGATCTGTTTGATCATCATTTCCATTTGTTTGATAGTGAATAACATGAATGTTGTCATCAGACAAATTGTAACACAGCAAGGAATATTATATTTAGTATATTTCTAAATACATGTAAGTGGTTTTGAGTAGCGGGTCCAGGTATGTTTTCAAGTGCAACAAATTCTTTGTTGTTTCGGTCACATAGTTTCTCTCTCTGGCAGTTAACATTTTTCAGACTGTCTCTTGTGAGTTCCTCATAATTGCATCCTGTGACACTGATCATTCTTGGCTGCTTGACAGATTATTCAGCTCTGATTCTGCAGTAAAGACAAACAGAAATGTTTTTTGGCCTATTTTTATTCATCACTTGCAGTTTACGGCCTTGAATATACCTAAACTGAGAGGTTGTTTACAACCTGTGTGTTTTTCTGACTGCTTGCATTCCCGCCCTTGTTTCCACACCCCTTGATATTAGTTTTTATTTGGTTAGTGCAATGTTATTTTAAATTTTTATCTAATGCTGTTAGTACAGGCCTATATATTGTATTTTTTTTTTTTTATTCATGCTTGTGACTTCATACAGGCATTACTACAATGTCAGGGTTACAGTACCAAATATTTAACTATAGTTTTTTTGACAGAAACCGTTTAACATAAGCCAAAGTCCTAAAATGTTAAATCGTCTAAACACAAGGCATTGGCCTGAATAAAATGGTGTAAAGATTGGCAAAATTTTGATTTAAATTGAGATTCACAAGAGATCGAGACACAACTGAAAGCTCTAAAAACCTGGAAGTAGACATTTGAGTTGAGATTGTCAAACACATACGAGGTCAGGAAAGTGAAAGTATCTAGTCTTGATATTCCCTCATTGATAAGTGAATTTTTGTCTTCTGGTGGAGTGACAACAAGAAATGTATTTATATTTATTTATTAAGAGCAACTTTCTCAATCATTTGTCTTGTCTTTATTAACAGGATAGGTCAAGAGTTTCAGAAGTAGTGTGGTGACCAAAAAGGACTGGGCTGTAATAGCACTCCTATGCATTTTATCTTTTAACATTTCAAAACCTTGTTAGATTGCAGGAAAATTTGCCAAAAAGAGGAGGAGAGGAGGGAGACACAAAGAAGAGTCAGAGAGACATCAGTCCTGCTCACTCCTCCTCTCTCATCTAGTTTTCCGAGAAAACCTGGGCTGTGATTTCCAGACACACACTGGGGTCACTGGAGGAAGCTGAGGCAGTGGACTGGTTCTAATTACAAACTGCACTGTAAGCCCTTGTGCCTCAGTGTGTGTATGTGTGTGCGTATAAGAAAATGTAGAACAAGGAGTTGTGGCTTATTGTTATGGTGAGAGGGCTTTGCAAGCCATCACAGCCACCTGCTTTCTATCAGAGGCATCTGCTCCGACACTGCAACGACACACACTTGTTATTCCTCATACTGGGTCTCTTTACACATGCATGCTCCTCACATCACTCCCACTATCACTTACACACGCACACACACAAACACACACACCACACGCACATGTTACTAATAGAGACATTACAGTTCTCACTGACTATCAGGTTGATGCAAGGCTCAGTGTGAGACAGGAAAACATACTGAAGCCATGACCAGCCTTCCCACTGCTTTTACAAGTGACTGTAAAAACACATTTCACATGGCTTCCACAGCCCACTGTATTATTCAGTCTGACTTTAATGTAACTAGATAGCATTTAGGTCTGTTGTGATTTCACTTTCTACTTAATAGGGAATGCCTTTAATCATCGGTATTGATAATGGTAAGTACTGAAAGCTGCCATTAAATCTTTTCTCATTCTTTGATGAGTTTTTGATTGAAATCAATGATGAATCATGACATGGGGTATCTTTGATGTGTTTCCCAGTTTTGATGTTTACTAAACCATGTGAATATGTTATGCAAGAATCGCATCCAGAGCCATTTCACCCTCAAGTGACTTGCATTGCATTGCTAAAATCAGAATTTGTCAGACAATGACAATATGTAAAGTTTATGTCATTCACCTTAGAGTTGTCACTGCTGCCTGGCTGAGCCAGAGTTAGAAGGAAGGAAACAAGACGCAGCACTGGAAACAAGTGACACTGAGTTGGCTGCTATCCCAGCTGACATAGAGGTACACCGTATATATGAAGCTTAGTGCAAGTTCACGACTAGAAGACTATTTTTATGCCCTATTCATTCACAATTCTCTTTCTCTCTCTGCTTCTACACTTCTCTGGTCTCAGACTTTTGGTATAGAGAGGACTTTTGGACAAGGAGGGATTATGATGCTCCCTGGTCAAGTTGGTGATCAAGTTCCCTGTAGGATTAGATGTTGACTGAGTTGTCTGACTGTAACTCCCCAGCTTATACAGGAGATACTGCTCGTGAGGTGAGGTGAAGATAATAGTCTTACCAGCCAGGGGTGAGGGATCTCAGGGAGGGGCATCTGAGGTGGGGCCGGTAGACCACTGTGGATCTCTGACTTGAATGAAGGTTCTTGGGATGAAGACAAAGTGACAGAAATTCAGGGAAAGTTCTTTACTATACATATATAGTGAACCTGGAGAAGAGGAACTTTACAATAACAATAATACATATTTTAAATTTCAGTGGCTGCAATTGGGGAAAAAACTTCACATCATTAAAAATGGAGATGCTTTCTTCAACAACACAGTGTCCAAGTGATGATTTTTTTCTTCTGTAACATAAAAAATATATTTTAAAGGAGAAAGACTAAGAAAATGAGTGTCTTGTGTAATGACAAACATTTAGCTACTAGAGTTAAAAACACTGTTGGCGTTAGTTTGAGTGACAAGAATACTACCCACCTGTGTCCCTTATCCGTGGTATGGACATACAGTAAATAGAAAATAACATTGATAACAGCTACTCACAACCTCAACCTGTTTGGAAGGTGTGCATCTGTACACAGCGTGTGTAATCTTACAGCAGGAACTGGGTGTTACATTTGTTTGTAGGGTTAGTAAGGTTACTGTTTAGTTTTTTTTTTGCACTACCTCAGACAACTAGTGTTGTGATGGATGTTATTGTTTTTATTGTTCTAATCTTTATCAAAAAAAGGGTTAGGGTCATTTTTTCTCCCTGTGGTATTAAAAATCGTATCGAGTATCAAGTATTTTCCTGGGTATCGAGTTTGAAATTCTAGTATTGTGACAACCCCAGTCCTTAATCAGTCTTGGTAGGTGTGGTACTACCGGTGCCCACTTAATGCTTATCTTAGAGTTTAGCTGTTGTGCTTTCTATCAAATATATTTTCTAACATTTGCCTCCATTGCTGGACAGTTGGTGGCTTTGCATTTCTCCATAACACTGTATTCATCTTTGAAATCAGCAGCAACACCCCAAACACATCAGACTTTTGGTGTCTATATCATCTGGAGTTTAATGGAGTATAAAGAATGCTGGCTCTAGAGGGAGGTTTACCTCCAGGGTTTGGTTGAATTCTGCCAGAATGTCTCTCCAATACATCCAATACAATTTGGGACAAACACAAAAAATGTGGGTTGCCAATCTTTCTCCATTCTCCTCAGCAGTGAAGTGTTGCTGTATCTCACTAACACAAAACAAATTAAATACTCTCATTCTAGTTTTCCATAGGGATGGGAATTGAGAACTCTTTCCACACTGTCTGAACCATCGGACATTCTGAGCTTATCAATTCCTTTGACCGATGCCAGCATGTTCCCGCTCCCAATTCCCACCCCTAGTTTTTCATTCAAACTTCCTCCAGCTAGGACTGCTTGTTAGCTGGTGACCATCAAGGCATGTCTTTTCAGACATTTCATTGTGATACAAATACTCATTTCTAATTTCCATTTCTGTTAAAAGTGTTTCCTGTTCTATTATCTTGAAGTCATCTGTAGAAGTAGCTATCAGGTTCTTCTTAACACTCCCTCCACAGTCAACATGGAAGTCTTTTCTAAGGTAGATAGTAGTTTACATATCTGCATACATCTGTGAGTCATGTCACACTTGAAGAAATCAGACAATTTTTTTCTGAAGATGTTCATATGACTTCAAAGTTTCCCCACAAAAAGCTGAGCCACAGAGGTTATCCCTTTATCTGGCCATTTTCTATTATGCTAAGTATGAATTCTGGAGTAGCTGCTATTTTTAATGCTCTGGATATAAAATTAAAAAGATTTTGTAGTTTTCTACTAACCAACAAAGTTTTCATAGTGAATTTAATGCATTCATGATCTATCTTTCATTTCCTACAGTTTTCTTGGCTCAGGAATGGTTCCTTCCAGGGAGACACCAGGGCATGTATTTTACTCTATACTAGGGCTGGGTGATATGTTCTATAAGTAATATCACAATTTTTTTTTTTGCTATATCGCAATACACAATATACTGCATATCGTTATATTTTGAAATCACCTCTATAGAACTTCATAAATACATGATTTAACCTTTTGATGCATAGAGAGTGATCTAGAGATTCAGCATTTTGCCTGAGCGAGCCGCTCATAGCAAAAAAAACAAACAGGGAAACATTTGTTGATAGTCATACTGATGTGATACCAGCAACATTATATATAACTGACAGTGTGTTTCTGATGCCGTTTGTCTTCTGAACCAATTTGTCTGCCTCCATCTTCAGCTACTGTTTCTAAACATGGATTTGGCACATTACTTTTTTCGCTCTCTCCAGTTCCCTCCGCTCCAGATACAAACACACTCGCCTACGTCACACATGCGGAGAGTTTTCAGGATCGGCGGGGGAGTGTGTCTGTGAGAGGGAGATAGCAAGAGGAGCAAAACGCCCAAGAGAACTTCATGCCGGCGTTTTAAGACAATTATGTGACAATTTATACTCGATTTTCGCGATATTCATTTACTAAACCTCACTCAACCTGTTTCCGTATACGTGCTGTCATCTTTATCGCTTCTTCTTTGGAAAGGGAGTGTGGATTTAATTTAAGAAAGAATGTTCTTATCTTTTCCCCCTTGTCTTTGATTTCAGGAGAATCATATAGTTCTTCATAAAGGATGCAGTGCTTCTGCTATTTCGCTTGGCTGTGAAACAAACTTCCTTGAGCTCTAACTAGCTCTGTCTTTTCTCATATCTTTGAATTGAAAATTGCACTTCATTCCAGGAGTTCTTTATTTTTGATTTTATTTTTATGTTCTAATTCTAGCACCTTTATTTTACTATCCAAATTTAATTGCTTCTTCATCCTGATTCTTTCTTATTCTACTTGATTTTTCTGTTATTTTACCCCTTATTACTGCTTTAACACCAGCCAGAGCCACCGGAACGACAATCCACAACTTTTTTCTCAAAATGATGTAATAAAATACCTGCAGTTTGCAGAATGTGGTTGAAATATCTAAATATTTTTAAGCACTTGAAGATACGATCACTAAAGCATTTGTCATGTAGAGAGCTGATAAAAACAAACGAAATGGTCAATGTTGTCATATTGACATTTAAGGTGTATTGATTGATTTCCAATCCACAAATCAAACATTGAGTAACACACAAGAAAACATTCCACCTTAAAAGTGTCCGGTAGCCGCCGGTAACCTCTGAGCTGATCAGTGAATGAAATAGTTAAGTAGTAAAGATTAAAAGACAGAAAACATCCTTTCATTCATTATGGACTAAAGCAAAGCTATATGTGAGATGTGAAGAAGCTGTTTGTACCTGTTCATACACAGTGTAGCACTGGGGTAGCTAACAACGCACATTACATCTATTATTTCTTGAGATGGGTCTAAATTGTAGGTCATGTTAAATAGACAGTGCATTAAGGTAACTGCTTTGAGTCCGATTGTAATGTAAGCATTAATGTTTTTAATAGTAACCCAAGTGAGAGGAACACTTACAGCATTAATTCTCTGAGAATCTTGTTCATATCCAAGAAAGATTGATGATGCAAGTGAAATATCTCTAACTGAATCAATATCAAATCAAATCAAAATCAAATCAAATCCGGACTTTGTGAATCGAAATCGAACCGATTCAGGAAATCAGTGGCAATACCCAGCCCTAGTTCCTTCACCATTATGGTTACTGTCAGAGTACTCCTCCGTACACTTTTTCTGAGTCACTAAATGATTAGTCAATAGAGAATATTTGCTCTCCAATATTTAAAACACTTTTCTATTCCTAAATGCAGGGATTACAGGTGTGTAGTTGCTGATTGTTTTTGAGTCTATATTACAATCTAACTACTTTATACATAAATTATTTAGGGACAGAAAAATATCTATACGGAAAGTCTCTCCATGGGTCTAATATCCCAGCTCTCCTAACATGTTATGTAATGTTTTGGATCTTCTTAAACTGACTGTGTTCGATTGGTAATTTAGCCAGCCTCCCATCCAGTAGGGATCGTCTTCCGTTGGGAAGGCAACATTCAGTGCTGTTACATCTTTCCCATTTATTGTACGAAAGACTATATGCCTATTGAATATGGCGGCCATGAAGACAGAAGCATGAAGACTGCACTCTGGCTTGTAATCTCACCTTTGTCGGAGAGGACTCTGTGGAGGATGTTGGAGAGGTGCATCTTCTTCTCTCGGACCCCGGCACTCAGATACTCCCTGTCCAGCAGGTCCAGGAACAGACGAAGCTCACACACCAGCTCCTCCATTGCTGCTGAACAAGCACACAGACCACCACCATTATTACCTCTGATACCAAGGATGTTTATTGCATCTGTTACATTACACACAACAGCAACCAAGAACTGGAGACATGGAAAACGAAATCTAACAGGGCACGAGCAGCCAGATGATCAGACAGGTTGTAATCAAGTCGACAGTTTAGCCAGATTATCCAAACACTCAAAATGTAGGTAAATGCAGATAAAAAATACTCATTGCACAGAAAAACTGTGTGTGTGCACAACTGAAATAAGTTTTGGGTAATACTGGGTAATTATTATCCAAACTGTACAATTAATTTCTTCTTGGTTTTCATCATCTTATGAAGAAAGTTTGGTACACTTACTGTACTTGAATACAATGTCATTATTACCAGTGGAAATGATTTTGAGAATTAAACCTGTGTTGCAATAAACCACAATTATCCTTTAAATCTGTATCAAAAAATGATCAAAAGCAAAACACGGTTACAAAACAGGTAAGTGGACAGCCAGGCAGAGAGATGAAAACCAGAGCTCTCAGTCAGTCAGTCAGTCAATCACTGAATCAAACATCACTTCATTCCATCGTAGAGACCCAGCAGCCTCATAGCTGCTCGGCATGGACAGACCTGGCAACCCATCTGACAGACATATCACAACAGAATTATAGAATTATAGGTGCTGGTGGAAAACACACCAAGGCCTGCTCTAACAGAGCAAAACAAAACAACAGAAACCAAATACATAACACAGCTAGAAGCTTAGGTATGTGTGTGTGCTGTATTGAAGAGTGTTTATGTTTGTACACCTTCACATACCCTTATCTGAGAGCTTGTTGTAATGTGGAAGACATCAAATTGATTTCATAAGCATGACTCAGTGCTGCCATGCTCTGCACAGCTCAGATAACAAGCACCTCTGTACTGTTTTGGTGCATCTCAAGCTTTTCAACATCTGATTACATCAGACAATATAATACTGGAAAGCAGCTGCAGATTGAAGAGGGCAAGTGGGATTAATGATTATGCCTTCACCTTTTTCTTTTCCAACTATACCCTGCGTCACACTGCAGGGCTCCACACTTACATTTCCACTGGTAGCTCTGGTGCCACCAACTTTGTCAGTTGGTCCAAGGACATGCAGGTTAGATTAACTGGTGACTCTAAATTACCCGTAGGTGTGAATATGAGCAGGAATGATTTCCATTTTGACCCCTGTGTGTGTTTACATGTATCTCTTTAGCAGCAGACTGCTGACCAGTCCACACCTTGCCATGAAGCCTGCGAGTGTTTATGCACAGGTGTGTGTCGGTGTGTGAGAGTGAAAGCCATGCTCTCTCCATCAGAGGAAATAAAGCCCGGCTGCAGTCACAGCACAAAGTAGGTAAAGTGTATGCGTGTTTGTGTGCAGGACATCGTCTCTGGTCTGGCAGTGTGTGTTGACTGTTAATGTCACTTAGTCTTTATCTCACTCACTTTATGAGAGTTGTAAAACCTGAAGTCGACCCTGACTTTAGACTATATGAATGAAGAATATGGTACTCTCATATTCTCAAGAAGAAGAAGAAGAAGAAAAAGACCCTGACAAAAACAGAGCTCTGGCTAGAAAAATTAATCGGTTACTCTATAAGCAGAAAATTACTTGGCGAAAATATCTATTTTTATTTATGTGTTCACACATTTTCAAGCAAAAATGCGAAACATTCCCTTGTTCCAGCTCTTCAGTTGTGAGGATTTGCTGCTTTTCTTGGTCTAACACTGGGGTCACTAAAGCATGGACCACGGTCCAGACACCATCCTATCCACACCTGAATCTATGACCTTTAAATTATTGAGCGTTATTACATTTTGACAGAGCATTTCTATTTTAACTGGTGCACCTTTTCTAGGCTTTACGGCTCTGGTCACGTGATGCTACTCAGCCAATCACTGACACACACAGGGAAGAGACAAGACGAGAGCTTACACCAGAGGTAATAGTAAGGATTGAAGTGAAGTGTTGAAATTGTTTATTACATAAAGACAGTTAACATAAACAACGTTCTGGACCTTTGCTTCAGGAAATTTGTCTGACTGGACCTCGTTGAATGATAATTGACCCCTGGTCTAATATTATAGTAAACTAATTATCTTTGGGACTGTTGGCAGGACAAGACATTAATGGGCTCTGGGAAAAGTTGATGTTATTCTGAACGCATTAATTCATAATAAATAAAAAATCCATAGCTGCAGTCCCAAGATAGTGTGCAAGCTATGTGTTGCCACGGTGCGGGTTAATGCCACTGAAACGTTGCAACAAAATACAACATGCTGAGGATTTGAAGGCCATGAAAACTAGCAGAAAATCGTGCTACCAGAATCCAAAATGGAAGCCTTAAACACTGCATCACTTTACTTCACAAGATGTCCTAGATGTACATGATGCAAATGATATGTATCCAAGGTGTTGCCCTCAAAAGTTATGAGACAAAACCTAAATGTTTTTTTATCTGAGTCATAATGCTCTTTAATTGTGCAGTTGTAGTAGCTAATGATAGGTTCATTCCTTACAGATAGAAAAGTCAATGAAGATGAAGCTCACACCCCCTGCCATGCTAGTTGTGATATATTTATGTAAATTATAAAATTAACCAGCCTTCCACCCACGCCACATGTTGAATTCAGGTTAGGGATTACAATAAGGCTTTTCAGCAGGGACTAGATACTCTAACTACTTTATGGCAGATATCTGCAATGACGCAATAAACCTCTTATCTCCTCAAAAACACGTTTGAATAGCAGACCTGATCATAACTCACTCTGCCTATCACACAGGTATCTACCATTAACCAGCAACAGGTGAGACCACTGGCAGCTGGCGAGTGATGAAGGAGATTTGTCCCAAAACTTTTGATCAGAGTACCTCTATATTTTGACAATGAATTCTCCTGGAGACATTTATGTAGGTTTCCAATGCAACTATAATTCATTTTCATAGCTGCAGAAGAGGTTTGAGTATTGGGCAGCAGCTCTGAGCCTGGATTCACAGCCGCTTTCACGCATTCCTCACATAATCTGATTTTCCTACAGGAGAGAGGGGGGAGAGAGCTGTAAAGGGAGTGAGTCCAAAAATGAGCAAAAAGAGAAAGGGGAGTGAACTAGAGATGAAACAGTTACTGGTTTCACGTGAAATTACAGTAGAAATGCCGGACAGTTAGTATTAGCGTTTAAATTTGAATGATCACTATAACCGTGGTCGATTAGTTACTGCAGTTAATTTGACTCACGTCAGGTTCTGTATGGCATCAGCCAGCAACAGTCTCCCAGATGCATGCGCAGCAAGCAACATGGGTTAGTAGTGTGTCAGTCAAAACATGGAGAAGGCAGTGACAGCTGCTCTGGAGATTTTTCATCCTTCTAAAACCTTTTTACACCAGAGTTAGCGGGTATGAGTGGGTTTTTTAAAAGCCAGTAAGCCCACTAAACAATTCCAGTCAATTTTTCCTTTCTGTTCGGAGCAATGTCATATGACCACAGAGCACACACACAGACGCAGGAGAGAAAGAGTGAGCTGTTAGCTGCTAAGCCTCCATGTGAGATGCTTCAATCTGTGATTGTGTGTTTTTAAAACTTATTTCAGGGCAGCAGCTCACTCTTTCATCCCTGAGTGCTGTGTAGCCGTGGTGTTTCTGGTTTAACAGTCCCATGCTGGACAGGTGACATATGTGTCTACAAATAATAATAATAATAATAATAATAATAATAATAATAATAATAATAATAACAGGCTACACTTGCTTTTCCCTTATTCACAGAGTGGGCGTGCAGCAGGCAAGCCTTGTACTGCTACTGGTCCCTTGTCCTCATCCGTGACATACGAAGAGATCTTTTGATCAGAGTACCTCTATATTTTGACAATGAATTCTCCTGGAGACTTTTATGTAGGTTTCCAATGCAACTATAATTCATTTTCATAGCTGCAGAAGAGGTTTGAGTATTGGGCAGCAGCTCTGAGCCTGGATTCACAGCCGCTTTCACGCTTTCTCACATAATCTGATTTTCCTACAGGAGAGAGGGGGAGAGAGCTGTAAAGGGAGTGAGTCCAAAAATGAGCAAAAAGAGAAAGGGGAGTGAACTAGAGATGAACAGTTACTGGTTTCACGTGAAATTACAGTAGAAATGCCGGACAGTTAGTATTAGCGTTTAAATTTGAATGATCACTATAACCGTGGTCGATTAGTTACTGCAGTTAATTTGACTCACGTCAGGTCTGTATGGCATCAGCCAGCAACAGTCTCCCAGATGCATGCGCAGCAAGCAACATGGGTTAGTAGTGTGTCAGTCAAAACATGGAGAAGGCAGTGACAGCTGCTCTGGAGATTTTTCATCCTTCTAAAACCTTTTTTACACCAGAGTTAGCGGGTATGAGTGGGTTTTTTAAAAGCCAGTAAGCCCACTAAACAATATCCAGTCATTTTTTTCCTTTCTGTTCGGAGCAATGTCATATGACCACAGAGCACACACACAGACGCAGGAGAGAAAGAGTGAGCTGTTAGCTGCTAAGCCTCATGTGAGATGCTTAATCTGTGATTGTGTGTTTTAAAACTTATTTCAGGGCAGCAGCTCACTCTTTCATCCCTGAGTGCTGTGTAGCCGTGGTGTTTTGGTTTAACAGTCCCATGCTGGACAGGTGACATATGTGTCTACAA